CGCAGGAACGATACATTCTCACTAACATGTATGTTATAGTGTTTCATTGTCCTGGAGCATTCGGTTGTTATGTGGCTCTTTGCTCCTCTTTTGGAGCTGTTCGTATAATTACAGCTGAATGTCCTATTATAATAATAGGAATTCCTAGAGTCCATGCAGACATTCGGATAATTACACGAATATGCTTGGTAGGCTACTGACCCCTATAGGTCATAGGAGAGTACTGCACATGTTATATATTTTTATTAAAATAATGTGTTTAACAAGTTAAATTGAGCTGTGCTTTGTTGCTATTTTTGGTTCTACCATTTGATACGTTATAACAATATTTTATAGGTTGCCGGGCTTGAACTTTCTTTTTGCTGTGCCTCGGCTGATGTTGGAGTATTATGTAGGTTTTCAAGCCTCATAGGTTCTGGTTGACTCAAGTTTCAATTGTCATATTACTTTAGGTGGGTTCTGTTACATTTTGGTCCATGTTATATATTACAGATTGAAGTCACTCTGCCATATTCCCTATCATCTCCTCTCTTTCGATTCCTACAATATTAAATTGGATAGTGGTTTAGATTTGTCTTGATAATCCACATTCTGTCCCTCACTGCTCGGACAATCTAACTGTTTCCTTTTATGTTACTAGGTGCTAGGCCTTACTAGTTATACTACCAATTATGCTCTACTGGGTTCATTTCTAGGCCTAGTCTATTAGCTGATAGGTATTCCATATTGCTTCATGTTAGTTTACCACTATTTACAGTAATGTTATGGGTACTACATGATGGCTATTTACTCTCGTAGGTATTACTCGGTTCTCATCTACTCTTTCCATCTGATACGACAGATACGTACCTGGGAGTCCCCCCCTCCCCAACTACCACTGGGGTAAGATTTTGTCTACTGGCTGATAGGTTTCAGAGTCCACTTAGTTAGCTTTTCTAGCAGTTTTGCCTAAGTCTTAGTGGTCCTGCGATCCAACACCCATCCTCATACTCGGAGGTACTCACGCCCAAACGGCCAACTCAGTTGCCTTGCATGCTGGTATGGAGAGGGCCTCACCCTGTCACTCCCATGCTTTTTGCTTTACTAGTCACTGAGAGGCCACCACCCGCCACAATCTCAGTGGCCACAAAATACCCTCGGGCCATCACCTAGCTGGAGCCTCTCATGCCACTTGGCAACTATAAGGGCTCCCCTCTCCTGTATTAGATTTTTTTTTGCCACTTGGCATTAGATAAGCTAGCCAGTAAATTATTTTCACTTTGGTTTCTCATGATTCTTTTGTCCTATTCTAGCATGTCTGAACTACCAGAAGCTATTGAGGATTTGTCTATTCCTAGCACTCCTGCAAGATCCATCTCTCCATCTCATGAAGGGGACAATGCCAGCCTCAGGTCCTGGACCATACCCAGGATCACGCGCGAATTAAGGCACAGGAATATTCCCTATCCTGCCACGGCCAGGAAGGCAGAACTTTATAGACTGCTCAATACCAACACGGATAATACCGAGGTTGGCGAGGGCCCCAGTAGTGCCCAGTCATCCGACCTCCATGCCGTTCTGTCATCAGTCTTGTCCTGATGGACCGTTTGGATGCTAATGATAGGCCAGTGGCATCATCTGGATTGGTTACTCCAGAACCTACTGGTCTCTCAGGCACTCTGAATGGTACATTTTTTGGTCCACTACAGAACTCTAATATCATTAACCCAACTCACATGGTAGCAGCAAATATCAAGAAAGATATCTTGGAAGGCAAGGATGTCAACCTAGTTTCGCTGCTGATTGCCTCCCAAGATATTCTGGAGAAAAATATATATTCCTATGGGGATGTCTCAGTCATACTGAATAGGGAGTTGTCAATCCCTGAGTTCGTCCTGGTTTTTGGTATCTATAGGGACATGGTGTGCTCAGTTTATCCTGAACGCAGAGAGGAATTTGACCTATATTTACACAAATTGGTGGACCTGGGGCATAGGTATGGTGGTACATAATTTTATGATTACCACAGATGATTCTCCGCGAAGGCGTCTGTGGCCCTGGCTCAGTTCAGTTTTCAGATGGACTGGAGCCAGTTGGATACAGAGCTGTTTTGCAGGCACTTCGCGGGCCTCAGGTCCCCAGCTTGTGGTAATTGCTCTTCGTCCTCACACACCACTAACCTATGTCCTAATACCCCTGAGCTGGGTGCTGCTTTTCCAACTTCCTCAGCTAAACCTCAGAGAGTGATTAAGGACAAAATCGTCCGTAATATTGTTTTCCTTGGTAAATCCCAGATTTGCAATAACTTCAATGCAGGTTCCTGTGGATTTAGCGCGTGCCAGTTATTGCAGGTGTGATCTTTTTGTTTTAGGGCACATGCCAAGACAATTTGTCCTAATAAATTGTTTCCCAAACCCTACATGGCCTCAATCAATGTGACTTGTTTCGTCAACTTACTACAGAACCATCCCTCACCCCACTTGGTGGAGTTTTTGGTGGCAGGATTCACAGAAAGGGTTCCATACGGGAATCATTTATATGCCATCCGGCATTGTAGAATACAAGAACTTGCTGTCCGCCCTCGCCAATCCAATAGCGGTTAACAATCTGTTACAGATTGAATTGAGTCAAGGTTCCCTACTTGGGCCATTCACTTCCCCACCTTTTTCAGTATGGAGAACTAACCCTATGGGATGGTTTCTGGTAAAAGTTCAGCTAAGCAAAGGTTGTTAATCTACCTCTCTGACATGCCCCAAGGAAGGGGGCATGGCTCAGTAAGACAGACCTCATGAACGCCTTCAAGCTACTCCCAATACATCCTTCTTTGTGGCATCTACACGGTGTTAAGTGGCAAGGTTCTTATTACTTTTTCACTCTTTTCACTTTTGGTGCAAAAAGTAACCAAAGGATTTTTGATACCTTCGCTGAAACTTTATGCTGGCTACTGCTCAATGTCTGTAGATGCCCCACAGTTTTTCACTATTTAGATGACTTCTTGACTATTGAGAGTAACTTATTCCCACCTAGTAGCCAACTAGATCCAACTATTCCAATACCTGGGGGTCCCAGTCTCCCCTAAAAAGACAGAAGGACCCAGCAGCACGTTGATAAATTTCCTGGGTATCACGCTCGATTTGGTTATGCTTGCCAGTTCGCTTAGAGATAAGATTGAGCACATCCTATCCAGCATCGACCTATATCTCTCTGCTGGATCCTGTAGTCATACAGAATTACCGTCTCTACTAGGCTCCCTCAAGTTTGCCATGACATTATCCCACAAGGTAGGGCTTTCATATCTAAACTACTCAATCTGTTTCCCCGCTTTCAGTCTTATTTCCCACATTTCACTGGACGTTCCGGCTACCTCGGATTTACGCATGTGGCAGGAATTTCTCATGAGATAGCAGGTTTATCCTTTTACTTACCTCTGACTACCTTACTATTTTTACAGATGCAGCATCCACCTTGGGCTTTGCGGCTATTTTTGGTGCAAATTAACTTGGGGGTTGGGCCTATAGAAATGTACAATGTACCAGGTTTTTCAACCACTTCTGCCCTATTCGAGCTCTATCCTATTATAGCTGCAGCAGTAGCACGGGGAAGAGTTTGGTCAGATGAGATGTTTTTCGGCCATATAATTAACAAAGGTCATTCTAAATCTCTGATCATCATGAGCTTTCTGAGGAAATTGACTTGGCTGGCGGCTAACTATAATTCCTTCCTGGTATGTGTGCATAATTCTGGCGTTCAGAACGTAGCGGCTGATCATTTGTCTCGCTCTCCATTTCACAAATTCCACAAAGCGCTACCAACAGCAGCCCTGGTGGCTACCCCGGCTCCATCATGGCAAGACATGACATTGGATTCGGAGATCTGTTAACGCATGGCAGACTCCTTTCACAATTAGCTTTGTCTGACAATACTAGAAAGTCATACGACAGGGCATTCCGTGTTTATAACAAATTCTTGTTGGACTTTCAGGTTGTAAATAAATATTCAATGGAAACTATTGTAGCTTTCACTTCTTTTTGCCACCTTAAATTAAAATTATCTTACAACACCATCAAATTATATCTGACAGGGGTACAACACCATATACTTACACTTTGGACAAACAACCAGTTTCCTACCTTCTTATCAAATCGAACCATACTATAAGGCAATTACAATTTCAAAACCCACACCACCATCTTCTAGATCACCTATTCATAGTCAACTTTTCCAATCATTATCGGACCTCATGGATACAACCCCTTTCGAATCACACACACCAAGCCTGTCATTAAACCGCTATCTACTTAGCTTTCTGTAGGTTCCTTAGACCCGGAGAGTTTAACCCCTTAAGGACCAAACTTCTGGAATAAAAGGGAATCATGACATGTCACGTGACCTTAAGGGGTTAAATACTACAAACATCACACCCCAAGACGGCATTAAGAGATCCCAGATTGTAAGAATACAAGACCACTGGTAACATGTTATATGACTGTCATTGTAGGCTGAATAAATCTTGCATGGTATACTCTTTTTGCCCTCTTTTAGTACAGGCCTACCCTATCGTCTGTTTTGGCACACCACGACCGACTGTTCCATGTTTTCTATGTTATCATATGGTATAAGTTATATACTGTCACTACTGCTTTCTATGCCCTGAATATATAAATCTATATTTATTTTTGTTGTTATGGTTGCAGTTAGATCTGTGAAACAACACTGGACACATAGCAAATATAAAATACCTTTTATTTAAAGAAGAGACCGACAGAACATTCTCCACAAAACCAATAAATTTTTTTAGCAATTTCATATAGTTAAAACCAAATATGCATTATAACAACTAAAAATGTAGTAGCATGGCTCACATCAAATGTAAGTTAAAGCCATCTATGGGTACGATATGGAAAACGGATACGGCAAAATCATTAGAATACAGGGTTGGGGAGTTCTAGCAGCAAAGCGCATATAAAATGCAGTACGATAGTGTTCGATCTGAAGGACTCCGTATAACAGCCACAATGTGACTAAGACCTCGCAGATAAACACTGGTTCACAACTTCTAGCAGATGGGAGTTTTCCAGAGCGGCAGCAACGCGCTCCTTGTCGGCAAGCTGTTTATTTACTGTGTGGAAAAAGAGAAACGTGATCAATAGAGCAGGAAGACTTATTTAGTCTAAAAGGTTATACACTCCACGTTTTGTTACAGCTACACTAACTTCAATTTTAGTTTATTTAAAAAAAAAAAAAAAGTCAATATATATATATAAATGATATTTGTCGTCACAGGAACGTTTGAGCACCTGCAACATAATGCTGCAAATCGTATAGTCTTATCTATGGATTATATGTATTCTGATTGGTTGAAAGTAAGGGGGTGGACAATGCTGGACACAAGGTAAGCAATCTTTATTAAACTTTACATTTACAGAGCAAAGGCGTGGGAGTGCTCTACGGTGTTATTTTCTGGACTAGAGGTTTCCTTTAATAGAGACGTCCCATAACGTTTACAAATGCAAATATTTTCGATCATTTTGTATCACAGCTATTTACATTTAAGAGTTACAGTCCCTTTAAGATGCTCTCCCAAGTTCACTTATGACCAAGCCAGATGTTTACAAACTATACATTTATGAGCCAATAAAAAGGTACATCTTTCTATATTAAAGTAGTGGCAGGAAATTTGGTTCCGGGGATTTGTCTGATTAGACTTTATTACTCTGAAAACTGTACACAAGCACCGGGATTGGACAGATAACTGAAGCCAAACTAAGCTGTTTATAATCTGTGTAGTGGAAATCATGAAGCATATAAACTGTTATTTCTATTTTGGAAAAATAAAAACAAACCTAAAACTAGTAGGAGGCATGTCAGATAAAACACTCACTAGATAAATCACTGAAGAGTGAAGGCAGGGTTAGTTCTGCAGGGATAGAAATCTGATGCGCAAAACATGCGCGGTTTGTGCCATTTACTTAGACTGCATGTTTCAGGACAGGGAGAAGTCATTAAATGAAACTTACCTGCATGTTCTGAAGCATGAGTTCCTGGAGTTATGTGAACATCCACCTTAAATACAAGAAAACAAAGCATGTGATATTTGTTTTTATTAGAAATCTCATTTATGCATGAAAAGTTTGAAACAGTCTATATGGCAACAAGTTAAAAAGGTTGAGCAGTGCAAAACAATGCTAAAACAGAATGAGTATTTTAAAAATAAAGATGTAAGATACAACCCTGGCTTGTATTGACACCGGCTTTGTTAAATAAGGACACACCGTACATTTAATGGACACTCCACGTAGGCTAGGATGCATGCTATACCCCGGCCTGCACCTCTATTACGCACAGTAAAAAATCATGTAAATCAAATAATAAAACTCTGGCAACATAACACCATCCCTCACACAACGTACTAGTATGGAATGTGCTTTGTTTAAAACTCTATATGCGTTGCATGCTCACCTTCCCCAACCTATTCCTATTGGCTGTTTTACATAGATATGTGATAGGTAACTGGCTGGAATAGGACACTAACACTACCGCAGCTCATTAATCGACACTGAAAAAGGTTATTCTTGAAAATAGTGTCATTTTTACAATACTGCTTATATGACTTCTGTTAGAGATGAAGACAAATATTAAATAAAACTAACATGGTCAGTGTAAATAATAACATATACAGACCTGCATCTACCTTATGTGTGCTACTACTATAATATTTTTTTTCATTCTACAGGATTTGTGCACATATTTCTAGTTTTCATCAGAACACAGTGACTTAACACAATAAATCCACAACAATTAAACCACCTGCCTAATATTATATAGGTCCCCTTCGTGCTGCCCAAACAGCTCTGATGCGTTGAGGAATGAAATCCAAAAGATGCATACATCCCCATTGAAGGAGATTTCAGTGCTGGTTCGGAGTCATCATGGGTACTCTAACTTAGGGGTCCCCAACACCTGGGGCCACGGACCGGCGCCGGCCTTCAAGAAGTTATTGCCGGTCTGCGAAAGCTTTCACCCGGCTATACTGTCTGGTGAAAGCTTTTGCGGAACGGCTATAAATTGCAGTGAGATATTTCCCCAGTGCTATGAACTTATGATCATAGCACCGGGAAATGTGTCTCATTCTCCCCTGCTGGCAATGCAGGACCGGAGGGAAGATCAGAGATCTCCCTCTCCGGCCTGATCATAGAGTAATACTGGCAGCCGGCAGGGGAGGGATAGAGGCCCCTGCGGCTCCTCTGAGTTCTCCTCTCGCGAGCCCAGAGCATTGCCACGGCTACCACGGAAACGCTCCGAATCTTGCGAGAGTGAAATCTAGTAGCTCCTGAGGCTGCTAGAGTTCACTCTCACCACTGGGACCTCCAGAGATTGCAGGAGATGTCCCCCTTCCAAGTCAAAGGTAAGCAGGGAGAGGGGATATCAAAATACATTTTTTTTTTAAATTAGAAAAGAAAAAAAAATATATAGATTTACTAATCTACCCTCCAACCCTACAGACCCCCAATCATTCCCCCCAATACACTCACAGCCCCCAAACACACACACACACACACACACACTGTCCCCCCACTGTGTGTACTAAAACCTATCATGACCAGCATTACAGTAGTGGACCAGCAATCTGAACTACAGTAGTTCTTCTGTGTGATCAGACCAGGCAGCTAGCATTCGTTCTCCAAGTGCATCAATGAGCCTTTGCCACCCATGACCCTGATGCCGGTTCACCAGTTCTTCCTGAACACCTTTTGGTAGATACTAACCACTGCATACAGGGAACATCCCACAAGACTTGCTGTTATGGAGATGCTCTGACCCAGTCGTCTATCCATCACTATTTAGCTCTTGTCAAAGTCACTCAGATCTTTTCTTTGCCCATTTTTCCTGCTGCCAACACATGAGATTCAAGAACTGACAGTTCACTTGCTGCCTAACATATCCCTCTCCCCTTGACAGGTGACATTGTAACGATATAATTAATGTTATTCACTTCACCTGTCAGGGGTTTTAATGTTGTGGTTGATCAGGGAAGTTTGAACTTTATAATTTACCTGAAACTGATCTTGTCAGTCACATTTGTGGAAGAAAGGCTGTCTTTAACCAGTAAAAGCAGAGCAATGGCATATTTGATTAATAAAAATAATGAAACTTGGGGTAAGGATAATGGTTCTGAGTCAGTTTCCTGAGTGAATAAAACTCCCTCATACACTCACCTTAAACCTATCTGGCAGTGATCGCAGCAGTTTGACTTTAATAGAGAGTCCAATAAGGGTGGCCATGCTGCAGTGAGGGATTGTGGGTGTGAATTCCACTGACACTGCGCTGTCCTCATCATTGACCTGTGACAAGGGATTAAACAGTCAGTAAGTGGGGAGCAATATATAACATGCCTACACTGTATTTGCACATTAGATCCGTGTTACAGCATGACTAAAAGGGGCGGCCATTCAGACAGTGAACTGCAAAGCAGATTTGTCAAATGAAGGCCATTGTAAAGTCTTTGTTATGTTCGTTCTATTAATTGTGAAGTTAGAAATAGTAAAATAAAGCGGTCACACAGGCCCTAGGGTTAACCTGGAGTCAACAAGTAATGGATTGCAACAATCATTCCCAGCCAGTTGGTAAATTAGAAGTTAATCATTTATATTACCATACTGGTTATTCTAGCCTTAATATTGCAAATTATTTATTGAGCCTCTTCAAGATTAACAATCAAATCAAAAGGCAGAAAGTAATCTCTAAAACAAAAAATTAAATGATTTCCTTTGAATCTGAACTAATAAGTCTATGGTCAATTTAAAATGTAGTAATTATGTCTGAAGTGCTCCGTTCATATATTTTAGATCTATTTATCCCTGGTCACCTTATTAAAAGAACCACGCCTCCTGGACCAACGAGTAGCTAAGTCCTATGTTTTATACTTAGCCAGTGGCACAGATCCATTTTAGAATATACCAACATGGACAATGCCTCAAAGAAGGTTATTCATAATAAGAGATTTTAAGGTAAAAAGCCAAAGTAGCCAAACTGAAAGCGTAGGTAACAGAATGATTCCAGTTCAGCTATTTTTGCCTTAAATTTGAAATTCGCTCTGAATTCTCATGATAGTAATCCCATAGTCTAGACTCAGTTTCAGGAATAGTCTTCACATGTATAAGAAAATCAGGTCACATTACCGGATTAAACGCATAGTTTACCTTGACTCTCATTTGTTCCACAACATTGAGCTCTTCCAGGCTGAGTGGATGTTCCGGGTCATTTATTGAACGAATAAGATGTAACACAATAAGGACAACATACAAGAACAATAATGAAAGTCTGACTCATCAAAGGATTGTTAAGTTATCGAATACTAAAAATACTATTGGGAGACGGGTACCCCATTTCCTTTAGCCCATGAGGTGAGACGATGACTGTCAGTAAAACACTGATTTCCCATATCATATTGGCTGTATTAGTGAGAGGTGTCCCAGAACCCCTTATAAGCAGAGAAGATTAGACCCCCTAATCCCACACCATGCGTGTAGGTAGGTAGGAGTTCAATTAAATAGTGAAGCTCCCCAGGGATCCCCATTAACGAGCAGGGTGCTTTCTCCTTTTCGCACAAAAAAATGGGGCTTATGTATAAGGAGTAATTTGGAAGCAACGTTCCTTTAGTAAAGTAATAGCATTGCCACCGAATTAATCTCCCTACATAACCCTGAAAGTTATAATACATTGCACAAAAAAAACAAAAAAAAACTTCATATCACTGTTTAGTAGATATGTCAAACAAAAACGTCTGCATTTAATTATGCATTTTTTTAATTGGGGGTATATCTAAAAACAGTCTGCAAAAGCTACAGATCTCTTTTCTGCAGCATTTGCAATCCCTCCCCTTCTAACCTCGCCCACACTTTGTGGATGTCCAATCACAGACTTCCAAATGCACTTCAATGAGAAGTGTTTGCAAGGCAGGTGTTCTAGGTGACCGCCGCTTCTTGAGATTAGGTCCACTGAGCTAACCAAACCAGGAAGTAACAAGAACGGGTTATATGATTGACAGCCAGGGGGGTTGTAACCAGGTTACTTTATAAAAAGTCAATTTCTAAAACTAGGACACAGTATTCACACATAGAGCAGTTCAGCAAGCTAATGTACTTTAAGGGTCTCTAGTGTTCCTTTAATATGTGGGGATTTATTGCTACAAAAAGGGTGATCTTGCACCTGCTCACCGCCCTTTCCTACTCTTACCTAGTAGAGATGGAGATTGTCCTTAAAGGAACACTATAGTGTCAGGAATCCAAACATGTATTCCTGACACTAGAGTTGTAAAAACAGTTTAGGCCCCAGTTACTTCCCTTTAAAATTTTATTTTACTTACGCTTTTTCCAGCACTGGTCGCAGGTGGCTCAGTCATCAAATTTGACAATCTCAGTCAATCCAAAGCTTTTACATAGGAAGGCATTGGGAGGCTATTGTGAATGTGCAGCACCTCATCATAGAGATGCATTGAATCAACACATCTCTAGGGAGGGGCGTTCAGCAAATGTCAGTGCTGCACTAAACCAGGAAGCACCTTCTAGTAGTTGTCTGTGCGACTGTCACTGCAGGTCTTACTAGGCATTAATGTAAACACTGCCGTTTTCTCTGAAAAGGCAACATGCACAGTTCTCAGTGACCATAGTGTCGTCCCTTTAACATCATATAGATCAACACATCTTAAAGGGACACTCCATGCACCAAAACAAGTTTTGAACTCATTAAGGGATCCTATAGTGCCAGGAAAACAAACCCGTTTTCCTGGCACTAAAAGCTCTTGGAGTGCCCCCCCTCCATTGGCGCTGAAGGGGTTAAAACCCCTTCAGCCACTTACCTTAATCCAGCCCCAGGCTCCCTCGGTGCTGGTGACCTCTCCTCCCACGCCGATGTCAGCTCCCAAGTGGAGCCGAATGCGCATGCGTGGCCAGAGTCGCGCGCATTCAAACCCGCCCATAGGAAAGCATTACTCAAATGTAAATCGCAGGTGGTGGGAGTGTCAGTCAGTAATATTATAAGTTTAGGATGATGGGAGTGACAGTCCGCTCTCAGTAATATTCTAAGCTGAGGATGATGGGAGTGTCAGTCAGTATTATAAGATGAGGATAATGGGAGTGAGTGTCAGTAATATTATAAGATGAGGATGATGGGAGTGTCAGTCAGTCAGTATTATAAGATGAGAATGATCGGAGTGTCAGTATAAGCTGAGGCTGCTGGGAGTGACAGTAAGTAATATTATAAGCTGAGGATGATGGGAGTGACAGTCAGTATTATAAGGTGAGGATGATGGGAGTGACAGACAGTATTATAAGGTGAGGATGATGGGAATGTCAGTCAGTATTATAAGATGAGGATAATGGGAATATCAGTCAGTATTATAAACTGAGGAGGATGGGAGTGTCAGTCAGTATTATAATCTGAGGAGGATGGGAGTGACAGTCAGTAATATTATAAGATGAGGATGATGGGAGTGTCAGTCAGTATTATAAGCTGAGAATGATGGGAGTGTCAGTATTATAAGCTGAGGCTGCTGGGAGTGACAGTCAGTAATATTATAAACTGAGGCTGCTGGGAGTGACAGTCAGTATTATAATGTGAGGATGATGGGAGTGACAGTCAGTATTATAAGCTGAGGATGATGGGAGTGACAGTCAGTATTATAAGCTGAGGATGATGGGAGTGACAGTCAGTATTATAAGCTGAGGATGATGGGAGTGACAGTCAGTAATATTATAAGCTGAGGATGATGGGAATGTCAGTCAGTAATATTATAAGCTGAGGATGATGGGAATGTCAGTCAGTCAGTAATATAAGCTGTGGATGATGGGAATGTCAGTCAGTAATATAAGCCGTGGATGATGGGAATGCCAGTCAGTCAGTATGATAAGCTGTGGATGATGGGAATGTCAGTCAGTATGATAAGCTGAGGATGATGGGAGTGTCAGTCAGTATAAGCTGAGGATGATGGGAATGTCAGTCAGTCAGTAATATTATAAGCTGAGGATGATGGGAATGTCAGTCAGTATAAGCTGAGGATGATGGGAATGTCAGTCAGTATAAGCTGTGGATGATGGGAATGTCAGTCAGTCAGTATGATAAGGATATCGAAGATCTCCCGGCCGTCGAAGCTGTCCGTCACCTCCTCGTCCTCCTCCAGCTCGGTGACCGGCCGCTCCCCGCTCCGCTGGTAGATCAGAGGGTTCGCATTCTCCAGCTGGCTGCCGCCCACCATCTTCCTACACCCAGAGCTCGGTACCCAGCATGCTCTGCCCGCCAACGGAAACCAGCGGCCAAAACTGAGAGATGATTGGCCAGCACGTGTTCCTGACAGCCAATCAGCGCGCTCTGTCTTCTCATTGGTGGGGAGAGGTGCGCTATGTAGCGTGTGGCGGCCACAGTCAGCTGTCTATACCTGAACCACACGGCGTCAGCGCTCACCCCGTCACATGGTCTGATAGGGTGACGTCACGGAGATCGATGACGGCTTGTCCTGAACCGCTATTAGACGGCCATGTTTGAAGCTGGCATGCAGTCTGGCGGCCATGTTTGAAGATGCCATGCAGTCTGGCGGCCATGTTTGAAGTTGGCATGCAGTCTGGCGGCCATGTTTGAAGCTGGCATGCAGTCAGGTGGCCATGTTTGAACCTGGCTTGCAGTCTGGCGGCCATGTTTGAAGCTGGCATGCAGTCTGGCGGCCATGTTTGAAGCTGGCATGCAGTCAGGTGGCCATGTTTGAACCTTGCTTGCCGTCAGGCGGCCATGTTTGAACCTGGAACTGGCCAGCTAATGGATATCAGATTGTGGAAGCTTACTGTATAAGATATCTCTATATTAGAATGTCCCTATAGATAATATATTTGAGTTGTGTTCAAGTGACTAATATGGCATTGCAAGAGCCGTGCTCTGCCTCACCCCATACCAAAGGCAGTGTCCAATTATTAGCTGACAGCTGTAGCTGAGTACACTTACATACCTCCCAACCATTCCAATTTCAGCAGGACAGTCACGATTGTTGGGTAATGTTCCACCGCACCCCTACTTTGTTCACTGTTATGCCACTTTTTGGGACACCAGGAAACTGTCCCCAGAAAGTGTAGCACAAGACACATTACAGACAGCTCACACCAGGACACTAAGAACCTGCGGAGATCAGTACAGAGCTCCCTGCAGGGTCTGCTTTCAGTTGGCTGGCCTGTTTGATTGCCAGGCTGCCTGGTATGCATTCCTTACAGCATGGGTATGCCATCACTCACCCGCCCCCTGTAGTATATTAAAACAGGCACAAAGAAAAGAGAAATGATCGTTTGTGCCTAACCCTTATGCCGCAACTCCCCAAAAAGGATGATGATAAAGAAAGTGCAGACTGTTACATACTATGCCTTATAGATGCACAGTTAGGTTTCTGGCGATGGTTCGAAAGTTCCGTATTATATAATCGCCATAAAGTCCAGAGTAGACCGCACTGACAGAAAACTCAGAAAATTTCAAAACGTTATATCGTTTCAAAGTACATGGTTTATTCATGAAATATACAACATGGTACAAAAAAATGTCAAGACTGACTTCATGTGTGACAAAGGATCCAGATCAAAGCATACCAAAGATACTGCAGAAAGGTAGAAAACGCTACGCATACGATGTAGAAGGGTTTTGGGCGCGTTTTGCATCTATCCTGATATATTATCAACTTTATTGTAACAATATAGTCAGTGTTATTCACTTCACCTATTAGTGGTCTCAATGTTGCGATTGATCAGTGTAGGTCTAACATACTGAAATTTACACTCAAGGAAACTGTGTTCAGAGTAGAAGCAAAGATGCTCACTGATTCAAACATACAGTCAAAAATATTCAACTCCCATTGAAAATCAGGTTTATTGTCAAAATTTTCACTTTCAGCTGTTTGCAATAAACAAATCATAGGGAGGGGTGAGCATGGGGCGCTTTTAAATTCTGAGCATATAGTCACCTGACTTGTAAATCCAGCCCTGGCAATGAGCAGTAGTAGTTCTGTTCTTAGAATGAGTGCCTGTGCTAGAAAGCTAGGGTATATATTATCCACGATGCTACAATACACCCATTCATGAACAATTTACACGATCACCCAGCAGAGGGCGCAAAGTGAACAGGATAGCATTATCAGGAGATGATTCAAAGGTTCTAATAGGATTATTTACTGAATTTAAACGATTAATATTCAGAAAACATAATTGAAACTAAAATAGCCAAGTGGTGTGTCGTGATCATTGGAAGGTTATTTGGACACAGTTGCTTATGACATGATTTTGCCCCTACAGCTGATGATGTTGCCCCAGCTCAATGTTTCCAAGTTGAAAGGTTTTACAATCTCTTCACTTTGGGACTGCGGCTTCCAGAAGTCACAGCCAGCATAGCAAGCGGAAATTCAATGTATAATCAGTACGAAACCATCAGGGTTTGGCATTTAATCGATAGAGATTATATTATTGTATACAATATACATGTACAGTAATTATTACATGTATATCATTGTATGTAATACACATATATTATTATTATTATATAAATTATATTATTGAAGTCAGCAATCAATCCTATCCACCATTATAAACCTTATCTAACATTAAGGGGGAGCCATGTTCATTGTGGAATAAGCATTTATTTTCTATACTATGTACATTTTGAAGAAAAAAAAACTTATTTTTAAATTCTCTATTTTATTTATCGGTGGACATTTTTGGTGATTGTTTTAATTCCTTGATATGCTGTTTAATATTCCTGAATATAAGTCAATAAATTATTGTTTAATACACTTTATTACATATAAAGTGTTGTTTCCATTTTTTACTTGATGAGTCCTGGATTACTGGTCCATTGATTGGAGGGAGCTCAAGAGCACTAATTATATTGGAGAACTTTGGAATTATATGACAAGGGCTACTTGAGTGTCATATTTTAATACATTTTTTTTATTGTAAAATCAGCATATAAACAAATATTTTCCTTGAACCTATTATGCTTAACTACTGGTTACTGATCTGTTATGTTTTTTTTGTATTTGTCTCAGTGTCTTTAATAATTATTTGTTTAAATATTCCTAACTAATGCTAACCTGTAGTTCACATTCTGTTCTGACCTGTGTGTTAACCTGGAGGTCGAAAGAAACAGTTATTTTGAAGAGAGAGAAAAAGTTAATAATTTAACATGTTTTCACCTTTTACTCGGTAGAATATTTAGAAAGTCCACTTTTGACTATTTGTAGGAAGATTTAGTTGCATTGTAATATAGTTTGATAAAAGATATATATATATATATTTTTGACAATCTTTATTTTGAGATTTTACAAACATTGTATAAACAATTTGTTCAGTCGAGGACCATAGCAGAGTGGTTTTGCGCCCAGCCTCCCAGCGTTCGCCGCTGCACCCCACTTGTGCGATGGAGACAGCTGCAGTGGTCAACGCTACCCCTCTCGGGGCTGTTACCTGAGTGGGTACCCTTTATTGTGCTGCGTATTTTGTGCCCCGTTATATGTTCCCCTTAATATACCACCGTACTCCCCAGGACACCCCTACTCTCCCTACTAGCGTCCCTGAGTCACGGTTCTGCTGTGCCCTAGGTGTATGGTTAGCAGGGGCACCGTATAGGCACCCTGACTTTGACCTCTTCATCTATGTGCCCCGGATGCCGGGATTGTGGACTACTTTATGCTTATCCGCGGGAAGGGGCTCGGAAATCCATAGCCTGTGCGATATCTGCTGGGCGCGTAACCATTTATGGGTTATGTGTGACAAAATTCTTCCAGCTCAGGCTAGTGCGTCCTCAGTTCCTGTCGTGGAGGGGATAGGTGAACTTGGATAAACTTGTATAACTGGAATAGGCACAAGGTGCCCTAGTTCTCATGAATGTGCGTGTCAGTCAGTAAGTAAGTATGGGCTTAATTGTCAAAGTAATGTCCCCCAGAAGGTTAACCTCCCACGTCACTCCCAACCTTCCGATGGGATGGGTTCCCATTCTGGTGTGGCGGTCCAGTAAGTCCGTGTCCGAGGTGGGTAGAGGAGAGAGAAGAAAAAAAAGAAAAGAAAAAAAAAAAAGGGGGAGGGGGCGAAGGGGGGGAAGGTCAAGCCGAAATCCCCCAGGCAGGGGGGTCCATCCCCGTCCTCCGGGCCCGCTGCCACAGTGTACGTCTGTGTGCAGTCTCCACCTACTCAGCCCCTGAGGTCCCCCCACATTGGGGTCTGCGGGCCATGTAGTCTATCCAGGGAGCCCATAGTCTTGTGCATTGAACTGTTGTGTCATGCAGGTCTGCCGTCAGGCTCTCCATTTGATATATTTCCTCCACTTTCTGCACCCATTCTGAGATCGTAGGGGTTGCTTGCGTCTATCACTTAGCTGGTATCAGGCTCTTTGCAGCATTCAAGAAATGTTTCGTGAGGGATCTCTTGTATCTCCCAATGGGCATCGTGGTGTGGTGGATTAACATTGGGAGTGGTTGCAGAGGAATATCGGAGTCCAGGATCTCCTGCAGTTTGTCGTGGATTTGTTGCCAAAAGCAGGCAATGGCTGGGCACGACCACCATATGTGTAAATCCGTACCTTCCGGAGTGCCGCACCTCCAGCAGCTAGACGTCTGGGTGAGACCCATGCGGAAAAGTCGTGTCGGCGTCCTGTACCAACATGTCATGAGTTTATAATTAAGCTCCTGGAGCTTGGCGCTAATCGTCCCTTTATGCGACAGAATATGGATCTTCTCCCAATCCGCCTCGGACAGCACGTGCCCCGTGGCCTGCTCCCAATTCGCCTGGTAGGGTGCTGGCCGGGTCTTTGTTGCTGTGAGAATCATAGCGTAGATCATCGAGATTCCCCTTAGTAGGTGTGTCTCTGAAGTGCATAGCATTTCAAATTGGATTAAGTTCCTGTGTATGAGGTGTTTTCCAGTTATTGTAAGGTACGATTGTCGTATTTGATGGTATCAGAAATGCAGCAGCTCGGCCGCCCGTTCCTGTGTCAATAGGCCCTCAAGAGTTGTCAGCTGTCCGGCAGAGCACCAATCTCCTAGACGCAATCTGTTGGCATGCCCCAGTCCTGTGACATCGCCGCGCCAGGCCTCCCGCTATCTCAGGGTTATAGATCACAGGCGTCATTGGGCTCGGGTTAGTCGAGAGCTCGAGTTTATACCGTATTGAGGTCCATATTCGCAATGTTGCCCCTATTAGTGGGTGTTCTCGCATGGCTCCAGTCTGCAGGGGGTTAAGGAGCCAGACCACCAAAGGGATCCGTCCCTGGGCCTGTGCTCGGTCGAGGTGGATCCAGTGTTTGTCAGATGTCGGCACATGCCAGTCCACAATCCGGAGAAGATGAGTTGCGTGGTAGTAGCATTGTATGGCGGGTAGACCCACTCCCCCGCGGCATTTTGGGAGAGTAAGCTGCGCATGCTTAAGTCTGGCTATACCCAGACTTAATTTATGCAAACGCCGGGGTCACTCACGTGACCCGGCGTTAAAGCAACAGTACCACAATCAGAGTGGGAGGCGTAGATATCCAATCAGAATTAACCAAAGGGTATTTATACTTACCTTTCCTGTCTCTCAGTGCCCTGTTGTGGTCTTGTGATACCTGTATTGCAGTTTGCTCGTGTTTCTCTCTGGTTACCGATTATTTGGCTTGTTATTCCGATTATCCTGTCTTC